GAGCTATTTAACTTTTTAAGAGTTCATAACGTGCATATTGCCGTTATAACTGAAACGTTCCTTAAACCTGCCCATAAGGTTAAGAAGGACGCAAACTACTTGATTTATAGAAATGATCGTCTTGATGGACCCTGTGGTGGCGTTGCCATCATTATTCATAGACGAATCAAGCATAAAATTCTTTCTTCATTTGAAACCAAAGTTTTTGAAACTTTAGGAGTTTCTGTTGAAACAAAATTTGGACAACTTACGTTTATAGCTGCCTATTTGCCATTCCAATGCGTAGGCCAGCAAAAGAATTTTCTCAAGGGTGACCTCCAGAAACTTACCCGTCATAGGTCTAAATTCTTCATTATTGGTGATTTTAATGCAAAACACCGCTCATGGAATAATGCTCAAAGCAATTCCAATGGTAATATTCTGTTTGATGATTGTTCTGCAGGTTATTACACTATTCAATATCCAAACAGCCCAACATGCTTTTCTTCTGCAAGAAATCCCTCCACTATTGATTTGGTCTTAACTGATTCATGTCAACTTTGTAGCCAATTGGTTACCCATGCTGACTTCGGTTCTGATCACCTTCCAGTAACTTTTGAAATATCCCAAGAAATAATTTGTAATCCCAACAGCTCTACTTTCAATTACCATAGAGCTGATTGGGAGCAGTATTGAACATTTATGGAATATAACCAACAATCAATACGAAACTAACGATTTTAAATTGGCTCACCACTTTAGTAGCCTATTGGTCCCAAGCAAACGATTAACGTACCCTATTCTAGTTGAAATTCTATTACTACACTATGTTTGTTTTAATTCGCTATGAAAGTTTGACAGATAACATCAGGGGTGTGTGGATTCATGCAGAACATGCAGGGGTGAGTGAAATAGCTTGGGACTGCTTGGGACCGTTGTTCTGGTACTGAGTGAGCCAAAAATAATAATGATTTTCTTCGGGACCCAGTGGTCTTAGAGTTACCTCTATGATATAACTTCGATCCAAACATTCCTTTGCAAACCAAAGATGAAATTAATTATGCTCTTGAATCTCTGACTACTTCTATAGTTGAAGCAAGAGCTGCCTCAGTACCAAAATGCGAGGTTAAATTCGATTCAATTATAATAGACGATGATCTTCAGCTCTTGATCCGTCTTAAAAATGTCCGTAGGAGACAATATCAAAGAACACGCGATCCTGCCATGAAAGTTATCTGGCGGTATTTGCAAAAACAAATTAAAAAGCGATTCTCTGCCCTGAGGAACAAAACTTTTGAAAATAATATTTCTAAATTAGACCCGAGTTCCAAACCCTTTTGGAAACTCACAAAAATTTTGAAAAAACCTCAAAAGCCAATTCCAGCGCTTAAAGAAGGTGGTAAAATTTTGATCACAAATTTGGAAAAAGCTCAGAAACTTGCTAAGCAATTCGAGAGTTCCCATAATTTCAGTTTGGGTCTTACTAGTCCTATTGAGAATCAGGTTGCTCGGGATTTTCTGAATATTTTCTCTCGGGAAAATATTTTTGATGATTCCTGGGGACTGATTTGGACGAAGTAAGGTCTATAACTAAAAATTTTCAAAATATGAAAGCTCCAGGTGATGATGGAATTTTCTATATCCTCATCAAAAAACTCCCAGAGAGTACCTTGTCTTTCTTGGTACAATTATTTAACAGATGTTTCCATTTGGCATACTTTCCTGATAAATGGAAAAATGCAAAAGTTGTTCCAATTTTGAAGCCGGATAAAAATCCAGCTGAAGCTTCTAGCTACCGTCCAATAAGTTTGCTTTCTTCAATAAGTAAACTTTTTGAAAAGATAATTTTGAATAGAATGATGCTTCACATCAATACGAACTCAATTTTTGCAGATGAGCAGTTTGGATTTCGCCATGGGCATTCAACTACTCATCAACTCTTAAGAGTTAACAATTTAATTCGTTCAAACAAATCTGAAGGCCACTCAACTGGAGTTGCTCTTCTAGACATAGAAAAAGCATTCGACAGTGTTTGGCATGAAGGTTTGATTGCTAAATTGAAAAAGTTTAATTTTCCACTTTATATTATGAAATTAGTTCAAAATTATTTAACTGACAGAACTCTTCAAGTAAATTATCAAAATTCCAAATCTAATCGACTACCTGTTAGGGCAGGAGTTCCTCAGGGTAGCATTCTTGGGCCTATATTGTATAACATTTTCACTTCGGACCTCCCTGATTTGCGTCAGGGTTGCCACAAATCTTTGTTCGCTGATGACACAGGCATTTCCGCTAGAGGAAGAAGTCTTCGTGTTATTTGCAGCAGACTGCAGAAAAGTTTAGATATTTTCTCTTCTTATTTACAAAAATGGAAGATTTCTCCCAACGCTTCCAAAACTCAACTTATAATATTTCCACATAAGCCTAGAGCTTCGTTTTTGAAACCTAGTAGTAGTCACATAGTCACTATGAACGGAGTTCCAATTTCCTGGTCAAACCAAGTGAAATATCTTGGATTAATACTTGACCAAAAATTAACTTTTAAAGATCACATTGAGGGCATTCAAGCCAAATGTAACAAATATATTAAATGTTTGTATCCTCTTATAAACAGGAAATCCAAACTTTGCCTGACGTATAAACTTCTAATATTTAAACAAGTTTTTAGACCGGCCATGCTTTACGCTGTGCCAATATGGTCTAGTTGCTGCACTACCAGGAAAAAAGCACTTCAAAGGATTCAGAACAAAATTCTGAAAATGATTTTGAAGTTGCCTCCCTGGTACAGTACAACCGAAGTACATAGAATTTCGAATGTTGAGACTTTAGCACAAATGTCCAACAAAATAATTAATAATTTCAGGCAAAAATCGTTGCAATCCTCAATTGCAACGATTAATTCCCTTTATACTTAGATAAGATTTAGTTTTAGTGTTTAGTTTTAAGATATCAATTGTTATACTGACATGCAGGTTAAAAAACCTGTTTAAAATACTGAATTGCCAAGACATGAACAATGTAAAAACACTTAGATATATATCATAACAATTAAGGCTGGTAAGTTACTGTAGTAACTGGAGCACCTAGGTTAAAAATGAAATGTAATTTATTTTGAATTTGGAACAAATAAAGAGTTAAAAAAAAAAAAAATAGTTAGGCCTTTCATTTGGCATGTTCAAGCATTTTGGTCGCCATATTGGATTTTTATTTAAATACTATTTTTTCATGAGCTTACCTCCCGCTGATTAAAAAAAAACACACTATTAGAAAACTGAGACTTTTTCCTATAAGGAACAGTTTAAATTACGACGAAGCAATCAAACGTTTGTATGCAAATAGATAAAAAAAAAAAACAAGTGGTATCTTTGAAAATTCTCAAGAAAAACCCTAATGTTTGGTTATATATGGAAAGGGGAACATTAGCGCATAAAAAACGCATTTTTAATATACCTTATTACGTTGTTTTTCTTTTTAATTCTGCTACTATTGTATTACTTTCACTAATACACTTACTTCCATTAATTCACCTTATTGCCTTGTTCAGACTACAGAATTATAACATGTTATAGCGCTATCTTGATGGTGGTTTCTGTGTTGCAATTATTTGACAACCGTTATAACATATTATAACTCTCCAGTCTGGACAGCGTTTTACTTTCACTTATTCATTACGTGATATCAGCCATCGTGTGAAAGAACTCTGAATGTACTTATAATACAACTATATTATAATATTGGCGAAACTTTACTCTACATGATGATGATGTTATGGCTATCAAAAAACCTGAAAACTTATCCATTGTGCGCCGGCCTTTAGTTTGCATGGGTTCGACAAATTGACGTTTGAATCTTTGTGTACAAAAGCTCTTGAATTTATCCAACCATCTTTTCTATCCAACCCTATTATTTAAGGCACTCATAAAAATCTCACCTGATGGGAGAGCTAGTACACGGCCGATGAGACTAACTCAAAGAGAAAATCACTTTTACTCAGTTGTATGAGAAATCTCAAAACACTCAACTCACTCAGCACTGAGTGACCTCCACGCGATTTCGAAACTCCCACCCCACCAATATCGGTCAAAACTGAACCTCCCGAAAATTGGTAAACTATATTTTGGAAGTGACAAGTTGACAAAAGAGCAACGTCGGTCGGATTCATGTCGATTTTGTTACATCCCTGGCAAGACTAGTGCTCACTGAAGCCGCCACCGATGTTGGTGGTGTTAGTGTTGACAACACGTTTTAAGGCTACATTCATGTGTGCCGCATGGTCATTTCACGTTAAAAGTTTTTACCTGTGTAGAAATGCTGCTATCACATCCAATTAAAATGCACTTAATTTTTAGGCAACGATAATTCGTGTTCAACACAGTAAACAGCGCCTATGGCACAACAAAGATTTAAAAAATCCTTCCCGCCACTCGCGACAAACTTTCCTACAAACTTATCACGCATGAACAGAGCTTACTTGCGAATATTTGCAGCAGCTGTCAAATGTTGACGTAAAATCGAACCAGAGAACCAGGATTTTGCGGCTTCGCACAATGTATATGAGAATGACATACGTGTCATAGATGTGGATTTTGTCCATTGTCAACTTGTTACTTGTCAAATTGTTGATTTGGGTTATTTTAAATAGCGTGTTCATTTTTTCTGCGTAAAAGTGATTCTCTCTCTGAGTTAGTATAATCGGTCGTGAAAGGGTTTTGACAGCTTGAGCTCTCACATCCAGTGGCACTCAATCATGTTGTTTACAATCTGATTTGAATGTGTATGAGTGCCACCCACAAAAATGCTGGCATGCCTGGCTCCTTTTGTGACGATGGGTGAGCATAATTTCATGTTTATGTTCATGTTTCTCGTATGCCGCACCAGGGGGTCAGTCAGTCCCGTTTCTGTACAGCATAAATATAGTTGTGCGCACAGCTCACATACGGACAAAGGTGGCTGGAGGGAATTCCCGGAGAAAAAATTGCCGTAATTCAAATTTCAACACGCGAAAGAACATTATCAATCGGATGAACAAACTCAGCATCTGTGAGTGAGATACAAGACTTCGAGAGAGTGTGTGTCAATTTAGTGAAGTCCAGTATCGCTTGTAATCTCGTTCGGGCCAGTGATTTTCTAACCACCGCAATTACGATGGCCATTCATTGAAGCTGTCACCCTGATTGAATGGAGAATAAGCGGAAAAAAGTGCTACAAAGCTATAGAGTTGGTTGAAGGTGGCAGTATTCGCAACATTTGAATGACAATAGCACTCTGTGTGGTTCGGTGAGAACAAACTCGCTGGCGATTTGCTCAACTGGAAAGATTCTTTCACGGCCTGCTGCTGTGTGGGCTGTTTTTCTCCATCTCCATAGTGATGCCGTGGAACTAATCGCCAATCTGTAGAATCAGTGGCCAACTGCGCTGTTCTGTTTGTTGTATGCGACCGTCGGTGGGAATGAGCCAGAGGAGGAGCACTGCGATGATTATGTTATTCAGTACAGTGAACCAAGCAAGCTGTTTTTACGGAAGGAAAGCCTACTTTACCCTCGCCATAGCAGGCAGCTCCAATAGCTGCTCTACCTAGCCATATTGTTATCAGCTAGTGTATTGCAACATTGCAGCCAAACGCTAATCTACCCCTGTTTCTATAATCAGGGCTGGAATAGGAAGAAGGGAGAAGGAACACGTCACAGCGAACGTACCGTAGAATAGGCGACAATGGTAAACCGTATTCAAAATTAATTTAAACTAGTTCCTAGCCCGACAGCGAACAGATTAGAGAAAGCAATTGGAAAGGAAGTGTCAACATCAGATATTGTGAAAAAAAAAATCTGTTTTGTGTAGAATTAGAGTTAAGTGATAGTTTTTAAGTCTAAACAGACGCAGTCATGATTCTACGGCAACTGATGGGACTGAACACCTGGGTCCGAGTCCTGATAGCATTTATCTCGGTGTGGGTGATACTGGTTTTGGTTTTCTATTCCAAACTGAATACCGGCAGCGCTAGTGAAAGTGAGGATGCCATCCGGCGACTAAACCAAGCCCTGACATATTTGGAAAAATCCAAACAGGTAGATCAGGAGCTGCGCGGCCTGATAGATGAATACCTCAGCGATCAATCGTACAATCGAAAGCAAAAGTTCATTGACGAACTGGGAAACAAGCTTCAGATCCAAGGTGGGGGAGCGGGCCGATTCAAGGGCGTTCCCTCGCTGGAGTACGAACAACTGCGTCGGCGGGTGTACAGTAACACCCAGGAGCTGTGGAATTTCCTACATTCTGAAACTGCAAAACTTGCCAAAACGGCACGACGAAACACTCCGGAAATCTACGGACCTGCCGAGAACTTTCTTGCCCTAGCGGCGGAGCATAAACGTTCCCTGCTGAACGACATCAACCTGATGCGAGCAAGCGATGGGTATGAGTTCTGGCGGTACAAAGAATCCAAGGATCTCAGTGATCTGGTTCAGAAGCGACTGACGCATTTGCAGAACCCCGAAGATTGCAGCTCGGCAAAGAAGCTGATCTGTCGACTCAACAAAGGCTGTGGTTATGGGTGTCAGTTGCATCACGTGGTCTATTGCTTCATCATGGCGTACGCCACTGAACGGACCCTGATCCTGAAATCGAAAGGATGGCGCTACCACAAAGCCGGGTGGGAAGAGGTATTCCAACCCATTTCCGATACCTGTCTTAGTTCGGACGGGGCCACTCATGCCAGTTGGCCGGGAACACCGGAAACGCAAGTCCTCACTGTGCCAATTATAGACTCGCTGAATCCGAGACCGCCGTACTTGCCACTGGCCATTCCAGCCGATTTGGCACCACGATTGATGAAACTACACGGGGATCCTATCGTGTGGTGGATTGGACAATTTTTGAAGTACCTGTTGAAGCCGACCGGCGAGACGCGACAAATGCTGGAGAACGGGATTGAGAAGTTGGGCTTCAAGAAGCCGATCGTTGGGTATGGCGTTGGATTCCGGCCGGATTGGGTGTAGATTTCTAATGGGATATTTTCATGTGCTTGTTTTTAGGGTTCACGTCAGACGTACCGATAAGGTCGGCACGGAGGCAGCATTCCATGGAATTGAGGAGTATATGCAGGCCGTCGACGACTATTATGACCAGGTGGAAATGGTGGAAGCCATCGACAAGCGGAGAGTTTTTATCGCCAGTGACGATCCCAAGGTAATTGATAATCTGCACTTCAATAGTAGTGCTAAAATCGGACACATTCCTTCAGGGTGGATGAAATAAGTTACAGATCTCAAGATTACTAAGAAAACGAACTTTAAACGTAAGATTTCAAATATTCAAGATATTTTACTCGGAAAGATATCAAGCATAGAAAGTAAATGTGCAATCCTACCTCTAGGAAATTGTACAAAAAATACCTCAGGATCTCGGACTTAGATAAAACCGGATTTTGATTATCTAAAAAAAAACCAGGAAAATGTCTATTTCTATAACATTTAGGGAATATTTCCATATGTTTACTACCTTAAAATTTATAAAAGATCTTTCAACAATATTAGATTCCCAGTGTAGTTTGAGATTTTTTTTAATGTATCAAAATCTTAATGGAGTTAGTTGAAGATGCTAATTTCAAATAACAGACTAAAGTGGTACCTTTTAAATCGGATGATACATCCAGAGGAAGCCAGAAAAGTTCCGGATATGTGATGAAAGAGAGAAAGAGGAAGACGAAAGCAACTTCTGGAGACGCTGGAAGATTGGACCCGTAACCCACTTAGTGAAAGGCTATCGTTACTTGGGGTGAGCTGTCAAGCTGTAAATTGGTTGAGGGATACACCGATTGTTTATTATCATCACAATCCTTTAGCAACTATCAAAATTGTTCATACATGGGCCCCTCGAAAATGAATCAGCACTGTCAGAAATGACGCTTGACTTCGATTTAGGTTGGCTACAGCCCGACTAACGGGAGCCCAACTAAAACGTAGCCCACTTAAACATAGCCCAACGAGCGAAATTTGACTGTTTTTGTAAGGTCCACTTCCAAAAAAAAATCAAAATACATAAAGTTCCATAACTTGGTAGATTGGAAGAAACTTCTTGAGAAAGTCGGAGGTCAGAAGGCTTACGGACCAGTCGAAAGAAACTTCAAGGAGAAGTTCTTGCAATTTTCCTGAAGTTAATGGTGCTGTTTTTAAGTTCTCCAATCATCCTCAAAGTATTCGGAGCTTCCCTGATTATAATGAAGCTACCATAAAATATCTAATCTTCTTATAAAGTCACTGAACTTTCTTGAAGATTACGAAGCATCTTAAGTGCTCTCACAAATTTTCTTGGAATGAATGGAACATCTGCATTAAAGTTCTAAAATCCTCCCGATTTTTAAAATATTTAAAGCATGGAACTTTCCTTAAATTGTTCTCACAAATTTCTAATATTCATGTAGCTTACCTTACGTTTCCAACATTTTCATGAACCTCTCGGAACATTCCTGAAGTTTTTGGAAATTCCCTGATGATCTCGTAACTCCTTTAAAGTTTCTGAAATTCATTTGAATTTAATTGATCTATCTTGATGTTCTCTGAGCTTTCCTAAAGTTCCTTCATTTCTCCTGAAACAAATAAAACTGTCCTAAAAACCATTAAATTTACCTAAAGTTCTTTAGACTTGTGAAGTTTCCAAAATATTTCTGATGTTTCCTTAAGTTCACTGGAGTTCTCTGGGGTTTTCGAATTTTTGCAGAAGTTAGTGAAACTGTCTTCAATTTATCAGAACATACCCTTACAGATATTTAAACTTACCCAAAAATCTGACCTTTCTGAAGTTTCAGAACTTCTTGAAAGTTCCTGTGCTTTTCCTGAAGCTAATGGAACTGAAATGAAATTTTGGAAGCATCCCTGAAGTATTTGAGGATAAAATTTATGTATGGTGAGAATGGATGAGGATATTTCGTTCCTGCTGGAATTTCTGGTTGCAAATTTTCAGAATCTAATTTAGCTTACAGAGAACCAAGCATGGAAAAAATCGTTTCATTTTGCATATACTACTCACTGCACACCTGTAAAAAGTTCCCCCTAAATTAAACAATGTTACCCAATTTTTTCTAGGTTCTTTGAAGCTATACGAAGTTCTCAGATTTTTACGAAGTTTTCTGAAGCTATGCAATATTTTCAGAATTTTTACGAAGTTCTCTGAAACTATACGAAATTGTCCTGATTTGTCACTAAGTTCTATGAAACTATATGAAGTTGCCAAAATGCTTACGAAGTTATCTGAAGCTCTAAGAAGATCTCAGAACTCAGAAGGAGTAAGGGCTTCTTGTTCCTCGGAATCCAGCGGTAGGTATGTTAAGGGTCTGCTATTCACTAATGCTTCCGCTTCTACCAGCAACGTATGCAGAGATTCGTCATCCACCCGTTCATCATTATACGCTGAAGTGATGGCAGTTTTGATCGACCGTACCATCCGCTCCCATGCTCCTCCCATGTGCGGAGCACCAGGAGGGATGAAGTGCCACGTAGTTGTGGTACTCATGAAGGTTTTGGTCAGTCCAGCGTTGATTTGTTCCCGCAAAACTCTTTCAGTACCCTGAAAATTGGTGGCATTATCGCTATGAATTTCTAGAGGTGCACCACGTCGGCAAACAAAACGGCGAACACTTCTGATACACGCCTCAGTGGTTAAGCTGTAAACCACCTCCACGTGGACAGCACGAATCGTCAAGCACGTGAATAGTGCTACCCAACGTTTAACATTGCTCCTACCGATTTTGACGAGGAGAGGTCCAAAATAATCCAGCCCTACATAACTGAAAGGGCGTATGTACGGAGATAACCTGGCTGATGGTAAGGCTGCCATTTGTGGAATTTGAGGGGTTGCTCTCTTTATCCTGCAATATTGACACTCTCTAGCTACCTTTCTCATTATTCGCATGCAACAGAGTGCGGTGCTGTTGATCGATGATCAGGTGGGTTAGACGATGTGATTTTGGCAATATTATGGGGAACTTGAGGTCCCTTGAAACGCACGTAGCCGCGCCGATTCTACCATCCATCCGTAGAACGCCGACTTCGTCCAAGGCCGGTGCTAGTTGGTAGATTTTGCTGGTCTTGGCAAGCGCATGACGTTCGGTATCAGCTACATGTTGATTCCTTGCTAACGTTGTCATCTCTTCCGGGAAACACTCCCACTGTACCAACCGCATCAATGTTCCTTCAGCCTTCTTATGCTCGCTCTGTGTGATATCACCAGGTTGGCGATTGACGTTCCGTTTTGAATTGGCGATGAATCGATGAACGTACGCCATGGAGCGATTCCAATATGAAAACCGGCTGACATCGATGATCAGTTCTGGGATGAATACCTCGCATGTAGCACGATCAAAGCTCCTCTTTCTCTGATTGCCCCAGATGATGCGGTATCTCCCAGTCGATCCATTCATCCTCGGGCTTACGAAGGAAATTTGGTCCACTAAACTGCTATCGGAGTTGAAGAAGGGACCAACCCCCCATTGCGATGCTTCGTCAGCGGGATTTTTTGCGTGCATTCTTGGATTTCACTCACACGATGTGCAACGAACGGGCGAAATTTCCAGGCATCCGCGTTGATCCAGCTCAACGCCACTGTTGAATCAGTCCACAGGAACCGTTTGGAAATCTTGACTGTATGACCCTCTACGACGAATTTCATAAGGCGGGCCCCTTGCACGCAAGCTTGCAGCTCGAGTCTAGGTATGGTCATTGGCTTTAAAGGTGCAACCTTCGTTTTCGCTGCAACCAAAGCGACTTCTGTTTCCCCATAGGAATTGACGATGCGTAAATATGAAACGCACGCGTAGGCAGCAGGACTTGCATCGACGAAAGTTTGGATCTGGATGTCATGCAAGCATTCCCCAGAAATATTCCTGAAGTAGCTGCGTGGGATGCGCACCTCATCAATAATCTTGAGCATTACGGTCCAGTCTTGCCAGTGCTCGAACGACGATTCATCGATTTGCTCGTCCTAACCTGATCCTGAACGCCATATGTCTTGAAGGAGGATTTTACCGTGTACTACATACGGTGCTGCCAAACCAAGTGGATCAAGCATCTGAACACCTGTCGTTTGGTTGGTACCACGCCGCTTGCGATCAGCCCAGTGATATCCGCTCTCATCTCGTCTTTCTCCGTAAGCCATCGCATGCCAAGAACTGGCTCTGTTTCTTCGCCCTTCAACCCTAGATTCTTCACCACGTTCTCCTTGCGTTCTCCAAGGTGAAGTGGAATTTCTGCAACGTTCGATCCCCATCCTTAAATTTCGAATCCACCACTTTTGTGGATGGCTTCCACCTGTGACGCCACCTTTTTCGCTTCTTGGACAGTTAGGAAGCTATCTAGATAGTCGTCCACATAATGGCACTGGATGATTACTTCTACGGCTCGCGGGAAGTCCTGGATAAACCTTCTCGCATTCACGTTTTTAACGTACTGTGCCATTGCAGGTGAGCATGTCACACCAAATACTGCGACGTCCATAATGTATGGACATGTATATGGAGTTTCCTGAAGTTTTCCTGAACTTCCAAGGATTTTTACGAGTTCTCTGAACTTCTACACGAAGTTCTCTAAAGCTATTGGAAGTTGTGCGAAATTCTACGAAACTCCTAGAATTTTGACGAAGTTTCTTGAATTTTCAGAGTTATAACATGTTATAATAATTATCGACAAGAAAAATGTCATCAAGATAGGCTTATAATATATTATAACTCTCCAGTCTGGACAGCGTTTAGACGAAATATCCCAGAACTACAGATAATTTTACTAAATTTCTCTAAAATTCGCTAACTGTCTTCAATGTTCAATAAAGCTCTGAAGTATCCCCCCGCTAATCCGACAAATTTGTGGCTGGATTAGTGGGGTTGATCCGATAAGCCGACTGCCAAATCCATACAAATCAATCTTACCAACCTAACAATGCAAAAAAGGTTCATAATAGTACGTTCAGACTACAAAGTTATAACAGGTTATAGCGCTATCTTGATGGTGATTTCTGTGTTTCAATTATTTGACAACCGTTATAACATGTTATAACTCTCCAGTCTTTGGGCTACACAATGGTGAGTTGACAACCTGGAAGGAGCGGAATACCTAGCCCTGGTCCTCACAAGTTCCTACTTCACGCCTCCTCGAGTCATATGATAACAAAAGACTACCAGCTGAAACATGGACACAGCT